GAGAGAAGAGCAACAAAAGTGATACAGGGTTTAGAAACCCTGACTCATGAGAAAAGGTTAAACAACTGGGCATGGTTAGTCTTGATAAAAAACTGGGGGGAGGAGGGGGAAGAGAGACACCTGATAACTGTCTTCAAATATGTTAAGGGCTGTTAAAGAGATGATAATCAATGATTCACCATATCCACTGAAGGTAGGACAAGTACTAATGGGCTTAATCTGTAGTAAGTGAGATTTAGGTTAGATTCGAGGGAAAAAAACTAACTATTAGAATAGTTAAACACTGGCATAAGCTTCCAAGGAAGGCTGTGGAATCCCTGTCATTGGAGACTTAAGAACAGGTAGACAAACCAGTCAGTGCTGGTCTTGGTTTATTTGATCCTGCTGTGGCACAAGGAGCTGAACTACATGATCGCTCAAGGTCCCTTCCTTCCTTCCTTGCTTCCAGTCCTACTCTTCTAGGATTCCCTTTCGATGGATGGGGGACACTAGCTAATAACGAGCCTCCATTCAGTTAATGCAGAATTCTGGAAGATAGGCACATCACCGAAGAGCCCAGTAATCACAGCAGAGGATCGAGCGTCACTTTCAAGAACACCTTTATATCCATCTATATACAGAACATGCAACTACGTAGGGATTCAGACAGCATCCCACCTAAAAATGGATTAGAACCATAAATGCACTCAGTACCTTTCTGTCCCCTCCAAAGGCCTAGAAACTACAGACAGCATGATCTGGAGGAATGGACCACGTGGCTGAGAGTAAAGAAAGCCTCCTGGCTCTGACAGTAACATGCTGTGTGACTCTGCATAAGACACTTCAGCCATTTCTCTGTTTCCTCACCTGTCAAAAGGGCTTACTATTACTTGCTTTGCCTACTGAACAGGTTTGTTCTGAAGGTTAATTAGTTGTTTGTGCAGTTCTTGGAACACATACTGCATTATATACATGCTAAGTACTATTAGTTATACAAAATGTAGTATCTTAAAACCCAGGAGAGTGCAGCTGAACTCCATGACTCTGCATTTAACTGTTGAGCAGAGAAGAGATTCTACAGCCCACTTAACAAATCTGCTTGAGTACTTCTATTTCCAGCCTTTATCAGCAGTTGTGCTAGTTCACACTTGACAGATTGATTGTGGCTCAAGAAGCTGAACTGCTCCAATGAAGAGTGCAATACCCAGTGGTTCTGAGTTCAGTCAAATCTTTTCCATTTAACATTTGCCATTTTGCTCAGGAATGAGGTTCCCTGGATAGGGCTGGGATGCAAGTTTCCTTTCTAGCAACAGAGCATAAACACAAGAGGTTCTGTCAAACACCTGCCCTGGTATTAAGCCAACTTGGTAAGCCTGGGATCTAGTTACTAAATCCAAACTATTTGAGTTTCTGACATGGAGGGGCTCCCGTCTTCACAAGGCTGAGAAGCTTCTACTCAGTCTGAGAAACAAGCCAAGATTTTTTATTTTTATACACATACAAAAAATAAAAATCAAATCCCACTGATCAAACTAAAACAGAACAGGATAAGAACATGTTTGTATAGGGGAGGAGAGGGCTGAAACTGAAAATGTCAGTTTCTAGATAAACAAGAGAGTTTATCAGCTTCCCTGGGACTTCCTCAGCCACTCTGTTCCTGCAGAACTCCTGTTAAACCCGAAGAGGACTGATTACTTATCCTCTGGAAGGATTAGCGGAACTGGCATTCAATAATCCCATGTAAGTATCTAATCAACTGTAATTTAATTACCAAAAAGTTTTAAAAGGTCAAAAAAAGGTCTCGCTGTGACATTACTTGAAAAACGATGATTCCACCTCTACTTAGGAGGCACCTGAGGAACACAAACCTTAAAAAAGTCCAAGAAAACATAACCCTGAAGTAGGTCATTCAAAATTTTCTGCATCAGATTACATTCTCCTACATATTGCTGCAATAGCATTAATGCTCAGCAAACAGACAGACTCAAAAGGTGCACAACACTTGCTGCCATTTCCATTCCAGCACAAATCAGCTGCCACCCTACCTAAAAAGCTTCCATAATACAGCACCCAACACTGCTTCCGATCATGAGAATGAAAGATTACCCTGCCCCTTCATGTGAATGTTTTGGGATAACATTTTATGTACAATAGCAAAATGCTGTGCATTTTAGAATAGTCTAAACCTTGCTACACTGCATGGAGTCTCTTAACTGGTTAAAAAGCACATATGGATGCTCATAGAGTGACAGAACACATTCTCTTAAGACATTTCAAGCGGCTGTCAAGACCACAGTGAAAAGCTGATGAAGGCCCCAATTACTGTCAAGATTTCACCTAAACAGATTTACATTTTAAAGTCACATACACACAACTTGTGTCACTGATTTTAGCATAAGACCAATTAGGACCACAGAAAGCAAAAAGACAGATATGAAAGTCAGCCAGGAAATATTGTCAAAACTGTCCTCATCTGTATCCCCACATGTAGTGTTACTGCACAGGATGAGTGCCTATGTAATTATTCTTTAGCTAGCCACAACAAACTTTGCAGCCCTTTCTTCCAACTTTGTTTGAATGGAAAGAACTCTCTTAAGAATCAAGACACACCCGTGAGACAGAAAACACTTTAAACCTGCATTGGTTTTAGTAAGTTAACCAGACAGATGGTGCAACCATCAAGAAATCTCAAAAGAGACCAATTCATTATTGTTTAAAGGTGTTTTTCCAAATCTTCCATATCATGTTTCATCAACTGGACAACTATAAATTCATAACATACAAGCCACTCACTCCCACTGCCCAAACCTATTTCCAAGTGCTCTTGAGAGAAGTCATTCCTAAAAAATGACACTGGTTTTTTCCTCTGGTTTTCAAAAGGACAGTTAAGTATCTAATTTTCAAAATGGTTTGCTTCATCATTTGGCAAGATGGAAACCCAAAATAGGTTTAACAGCAATCTCTCCATTGCAGACACAAATTTGTTATTGGAAGGCTGTAATACATGAGTGTTGGCAGCTTATTCTTGTTATTGAAGTTAAGAGATTGGAAACAGTAGTTTTAAAACAAAGTATATGTAATTTTTCATGTGTGTGTTTTAAGTAGGTAAAAAGGAGAGTCGGGCCCTATTTTGGATCTATGAACCTTAGTCAGAGCCTCAGGCCACACGCTAAGGCTTTCATTGCCCTGTAGCTCTGTGCACATGGCGATTTTGTGCTCAGCAAACTGGTGTGCTGCAGATTCACACCTTGACTTGTTACATACTAACCTACTGTGTAGACAAGCCCATAAAGTATAAGGTCAGAAGAGACCAACAGATCATCTAGTCCAGTGATTCTCAAACTTTTGTACTGGTAACTCCTTTCACATAGCAAGCCTCTGAGTGCGACCCCCCCCCTTATAAATTAAAAACATTTTTTAATACATTTAACACCATTATAAATGCTGGATGCAAAGTGGGGTCTGGGGTGGGGGTTGACAGCTCGCTACCCCCCAATTAAATAACTGGTCACATAAACACCACCCTATACCGGAAACCTACTGACCGCTATACGTACCTACATGCCTCCAGCTTCCATCCAAGACGCATCACACGATCCATTGTCTACAGCCAAGCCGTAAGATACAACCGAATTTGCTCCAACCCCTCAGACAGAGACAAACACCTACAGGATCTTTATCAAGCATTCATAAAACTGCAATACCCACCTGGGGAAGTGAGGAAACGGATTGACAGAGCAAGACAGGTACCCAGAAATCACCTACTACAGGACAGGCCCAACAAGGACAATAACAGAACACCACTGGCCATCACATACAGCCCCCAGCTAAAACCTCTCCAGCGCATTATCCACGATCTACAACCTATCCTGGAAAATGATCCCTCACTCTCACAGACCTTGGGAGGCAGGCCAGTCCTCGCTTACGGACAACCCCCCAACCTGAAGCAAATACTCACCAGCAACTACACGCCACACCACAGAAACACCAACCCAGGAACCTATCCCTGTAGCAAACCTCGTTGCCTACTCTGTCCCCATATCTACTCTGGCAACAGCATCAGAGGACCCAACCACATCAGCCACACCATCAGGGGCTCATTCACCTGCACATCCACTAATGTTATATATGCCATCATGTGCCAGCAATGCCCCTCTGCCATGTACATTGGCCAAACCGGACAGTCCCTCCGCAAAAGAATAAATGGACACAAATCGGACATCAGGAATGGTAACATACATAAGCCAGTAAGTGAACACTTCAATCTCCCTGGTCATTCTATTACAGATTTAAAAGTCACTATCATTGAACAAAAAAACTTCAGAAACAGACTTCAAAGAGAAACAGCAGAACTAAAATTCATTTGCAAATTCAACACCATTAATCTGGGCTTGAATAGGGACTGGCTGGCTCATTACAGAAGCAGTTTTTCCTCTCCTGGAATTGACACCTCCTCATCTATTATTGGGAGTGGACTACATCCACCCTGATTGAATTGGCCTAGTCAACACTGGTTCTCCACTTGCGAAGTAACTCCCTGCTCTCCATGTGTCAGTATATAATGCCTGCATCTGTAACTTTCACTCTATGCATCCGAAGAAGTGAGGTTTTTACTCATGAAAGCTTATGCCCAAATAAATCTGTTAGTCTTTAAGGTGCCACCAGACTCCTTGTTGTTTAAATAACCTCGGGATCCCCGGAGGGGTCCCGACCCCCAGTTTGAGAACCCCTGATCTAGTCTGACCTTCTGCATATCACAAGCCACTAAACCGCACTCAGTCACCCTTGTATTGATAGCAATCACCAGACTAAACTAAAGAACTGACGGATTCCTTTTAGGAGAATCCTCAAGCCACGACAATCACAGGAAGTCTGAGTACAGTTGCGTATGATGAAAACAGATTTGCAAGCTGCAGACAGGATAGCAAGCCAACTAGTCAGCGAGTCACAGCAGAAAAGACACCTTCAATTTTGTTTTCAACAGGGTCAAAGAAAAGGTGGGTGCTGCCGCACGCCGTTACCTTCTTGAAGAGTCGCCCAGAGTCTTCGCTGACTTGGACAAACCGAGGGATGATATTGTTTAGGTAGATGTCACTCAGAGTCGTGTGGTCCCTGCTCTCTCGCTTCACCTGGTTTAAGAGGAGATTCCAACAGTTGACTGGAGACAGGACATTCTGATCCTTCCTGCAGGGAATGCAAAATGGAAACAATGTGGGGGACAGGACTTTAGGTCAAGCAGGCTAAATCATTCACTTGAACACACATTCTATAGTTCCACACCAGAAGTGTAGCTACTCTAACATACCATATGTAGCTCCTGAGGATCGTGTCTTCTAAAAGGTGTGGGGGAACTCGGATACCCATGACAGGGAGAGAGAGCGCTACAGACTGAGGGACTGTGCAAGCTTTATCCATAGACTTGTTTCTTGTCTTCAGTGTAAGCAGATTTCAAATATCCAATCATTTAGGCACCATCCACACTGGCACCAGAATAATGCTACCCACTGCACAAAGTTTAAACAAAGCTGCCGGTAGCCAGCAGCCAGATTCTAGCAACATTTCCTCTGTCAAATGTGGATAGAGATAGTTTTCTTAGACACATTCAACAGGTGTGTTCCACTTCAGTAGCCCTTACAGAGTTATAACATGCTTCTCACTCCAAAATGAGTAAGTGCTCTGTCCATGATGGGCAGGTGACCTGTATAAGAACCCTAGCAGCAACAATAATGTTTCAAGTGTTAGTAAACTAGCAGAGGTCTGTCCCTAGCATGAACATAGAAGAAAATAAAAGCCACCAAATATAATGAAGCTTTTGCACTAGTAAAATTTCATTTAAATAAAAAGTGTTCTGGACCCATTCTGTATTCAGGAAGTCTGAAGCCTCTCATAATACTGTAACAAAGCCAAGCTGGTTGCACAGAACAGTAAATGATTATTGCTTACCTTACCCTAATTCAACAAAGAATTCAGCACCTCCCAGGTCATTGCCCTCACCTGGACAAATAATGTTCTGACTGAATCTTTATTTCCAGAAGCAGAGAGCAGAACATGTTGTTATGCCTGGTTTACAGTGATTCTGAGATATAGCAGATGCTGCTTCTTTGATCATCTCCCTCTCAACCCTCACACAAGTGTTTGCTCTGTCCTACAGCCCACTTCAATTTCTGTAACTACAAACTAGAGAGGAGATCCTATATTCTTCAATTTCAGCATGAGGAAATGCATTTCAAGCATTCCCCCCCCACACACACACACTTTTTGTAGCTGAATCTTACACTCCTCCTCCCTCTTTCTCCCTAAAATGTCTAAACTTGAGGATCTACTCTAAGCCAATACAATGAAATACCAAGACCCCCAAAAACCCTGAAACATTTTCTTAACCCATCTCTCCCCATGAGAATTTGGATGTGGTAATCAGCTTTATTTTAACACTATACTGTGTGACTTTTTATTTTGGTAAATGAAATTGTTTGTAGTATAAATTCAATATTTATACATATTTTAAAAGATATTAACTTAATGTGCAACCAAGGCTTTATCAACAGTCAGATAACTACCCTGACTTACACACAATGAAATCAGTGTGGGTGCATGTGGACATAAGTCAGGGGAGAATGTGGTTTAAAAAAGTCACTTGGCTGTTTTCTTGAAAAGTGGATAAATAGCCTAAAAGGCTAACTTTATCCACAGTGCAAATACTTATATTTAAGCAAAGATTCAGTATGGCATCTGCCTTTAAAGATTCTGTTTTACTACATGTGTCATTTCATAAAGAATTACTTTAGGGATGTTGGGGTTTTTTTTGTTTCATTTATTTCCAATCAATAACAACCCACTGGGAGAGAGAAGGTACAGCCACTATATGCATTTCTGAGATACTTTTATACATACTTCCATTGCATTTAAACCTACTGTGACCAACAGAGTAACCACACCTCTAAAATTTATCAGGGAGGTGCATGATCCTTAGAACATGACCTATGAAGGAAGGCTGAAAGAATTGGGTTTGTTTAGTTTGGAAAAGAGAAGACTGAGAGGGGACATGATAGCAGTTTTCAGGTATCTAAAAGGGTGTCATAAGGAGGAGGGAGAAAACTTGTTCACCTTAGCCTCTGAGGATAGAACAAGAAGCAATGGGCTTAAACTGTAGCAAGGGAGGTCTAGGTTGGACATTAGGAAAAAGTTCCTAACTGTCAGGGTGGTTAAACACTGGAATAAATTGCCTAGGGAGGTTGTGGAATCTCCATCTCTGGAGATATTTAAGAGTAGGTTAGATAAATGTCTATCAGGGATGGTCTAGACAGTATTTGGTCCTGCCATGCGGGCAAGGGACTAGACTCGATGACCTCTCGAGGTCCCTTCCAGTTCTAGAATCTATGAATATGAATTCCATCTTGGAATTTTCTATTTTCTTTTTCCATGTTCTATGGCTGACCCCCCCCCCCCCCCCCCCCCACAAAGAATGAGGTTATGAAAAAAGACTAATTTTTAGTGCCAACATAACAAAATAAGGAGGACAACATCCTTGTCTCACTGCAGAGACAATAAAAGTGACAAGCCGCATAATTTAAGTATAAGGTTTTAAGAAACATTTCAGAAATCAAGCCAAGAGCTAAGCAGTAATTTTCTACAGTACCTGAGGGATTCTGCAGTACTGTTTTGGGTTGGTGGAGACTAGACCTGTTAGCTTGGCTGGAATACTTAATTTCCCTTATATCTGTTGATCATTTGTTTACACATGTTCTTTTTTCCTATGTTATGTAATTCTTGGAAGAGACAAAATTTAAAATATTCTAAAAAGCCAGGCTATGGCAAGAATGTGTCAAACAGCTGCGAAATTGCCTGAAAAGCTCATCTCTACTAAAACAAAGATGAAAAATCCATATGAAGTTTTTCTTACCAACGTGTCCAAATTAAACCAACTGATCTTTAGGCAGAAAACCAGAAAGGCATTTGATAGGACTGTGTGTGTTAAAGATCACAGAAAAGTTTGGCAAAAGAGCCAATCTCACTGGTTTACTGACAGGCTGTTCTAAAAGTACAGCAGTATGGTTTGGAATGCATTTGTCAATTTACCCGTCTTTGTGTGATCAAGCGGCACTACAGGGTCTGTTCTGATTAAGAAGAAAAGCCTTCAGATTTCACACTCCACAGTTTCTTTAACACAGAAACAGCTACACCATCCTCACCCGGGCCTTTGAACAAAATCTGAATTGGGGGGGGGGAGGGGAGGAGTGACATGTGCATCATTTAATAGGGGTTTATAATGAAGTAATGCACTCATGTTTTAAAGCAAGATTAAACATTCACAAAGAATTAAAATTACTACCACATATCACAAATTGTTGGGTACTGATGGTTGGTAATCCTCCTCGGGGTTCCTAATGGAAATAGTCACATAAAAGGAAATGAATAGTTCTTCTGTCATCTGCTAGTAGCTATTCAGCTACTGGAAACCTCTCATTGGAAAAAGAAAAATAGCCAAATCATTGAGGAATGGTAAAAAACATATGGGAGATTGTGGTTATAGAAAAATTAACACACCAGTTACATATCCAGCAAAATAGATAGAGGACAGATACATGGATATTTGGTTACCTTTTATTCAATACTCAAAGTGCATTCGCCTGCAAAAAACAGCACCAATTTTTCTAAATATAAATATTTGATAGACATACCTGATCTGTTAAACATGCGCATATGGAGATCCAGGTAAAGTGATTTTTATTAGATTAAGATGAGCTTTGGCTTTACACCAGAGATGTAAGAGTTGTCAAGCAGTAACTGAAGTAAAATTAGATCAGACTCCATCCCTCTGCAAGACTAAGATGCAGTCCCCACAAACACCATGCATATCCTTCATTAGATGGATAGCAACTTCCCCATGGCAAAACAGATTTCTCGCTGATATTCCTAAGATGTGCAAAAAGAAGCCAGTCAGAGACTCTAGCCAGTGGGAGCAAAAGCAGCCAAAGCAGGGACCTCTGGACATTGAGAACTTGCTACAGTTTTGATTTGGACTTTCTCTAGCCTGTGCTGATGGCCTGTTTGCTCCACTCCTCTCCTTCCACCTCCCTCGATTCTTCGCTTCAGTTTCACTCCACAACTGCCCCTTTTATCCTCTCCTCCCCTGACCAGCTGCCCTGTCCCCCTCACTCTCCATTTAGTTTATCCACACACAAAAAACAACTCCAAACCAAACAAAAACCCTACAAACCTGGAAATAACTTGGTGCTATTGCATTTTTTACATTCCTTGTGTGTTACACCCATTCCCCTACCCTGTCTATTTAGATTGTAAGCTTGTCAAATCAGGAAAAATCTACTGTTCTGTTTGTACAGTGCCTGGAATAATGGGGCTCCAATACCCGTCAGTCCTTAAGCACTACTGTAATAAACATGATTAATACTAAAACAAGCCTCTGTAGGCTTCCATTGTGCTACCCATAGTAGCAAAGGTTGGATCTACAATACAAAGTAGATAAGTTTTAAACAGAAAAATAGTTTCAAAGCAGCTGATCTGGATGTTTGTTTCTTACCCTTAAAAACATACCACAGGAAATGACTGAAGCTTGTGATCTGGATTGTTTCAAGGTCTGGAGTATAAGGAAGGGGGCTGGAGATATTCTAGGCTAGTGATTTTCTCCTACTGCTTTGATTTAAAAAAAAAAAATCTAGGGTGACAGCACAGATTATTTTATTTAAAAGAGAATATTAGGCTTTGTAGTTTATGTACTACACTGTATATACTGCTGACAGACAAAAGCAGACAGAATTATCACAATGCAGTACTGAAGACAGGGCTGCCCAGAGGATTCAGGGGGCCTGGGGGCTTCGGCGGCAGGGGGCCCCCGCTGCCGAATTGCCGCCGAAGACCCAGCACTTCGGCGGCGGGACCCGGGGCAGAAGGACCCCCCGATGCGGGTCTTCAGGGCACTTCGGCGGCAGGTCCTGGAGCAGAAGGACCCCCTGCCGCTGAAGACCAGAGCGGAAGCAGCTCTGGGGGTCCGGGCCCCGTGAGAGTTTTCCGGGGCCCCCGGAGCGAGTGAAGGACCCCGCTCCAGGGGCCCCGAAAAACTCTCATGGGGCCCCAGGGGCCCGGGGCAAATTGCCCCACTCGCCCCCCCCCCCCCCCGGGCGGCCCTGACTGAAGAAAGTTGCAACTGCTAGGTATTAACCTATATA